TGCCAGCCAGCCCCGCCCCCTGGTGGGCTGAGCTGGCCACGCACACACACACACACACACACACATAAATAAATAAATAAATTAAAGAAAAAAAGAAAAGAAAAATGTTTCCCTTAAAAAAAAAAAAGAAGGACCTGAAACTGGAAGTTATTAGAAGGCCCCAAAGTTGTGTACTGTACTATATTATTCTGGTTTAAGCTTATAAAATATTTGACCAAAATCACCAGAAATATTTTCAGTTTATGTGGCATATAATTACAATAATAAATCCATCAAAACCTACCAAGTAATGTTGAAAATATGAAATTGTGTAGTATAACTGGATACACAGTGAAGGTTCTCCGCCTATTTTTATTTTCTGCAAAGTATATTTTAAAATATTTCTTAAAACGCATGCACTTAGGGGCAAGTGAATTGGAAAATGGTGAGAAAATTCAATAAACCCTCGTAAACCCCCCAAAAATCTTAATTTTAGAACAGAAAGAAAGCTACTCCAGAATCCAATGTGGTTAGATATCAATAAGAAAGCTTTATTGAACGTACCTATATTACTAAGACGTTTCCTCATGACATCTAAAATTAGGGCCGGGGAAATGGCTCAATAGAATAAACACTTGCCTGGCAAGTGCAAGGGCCTGAGTTCAATCCCCGATTCCGCGATAAAAATAAAATAAAGTCAAATAGTTTTGTTATGGAACAACGTCATATCTCCTTAAGGAAGTTCAATAAATCATCTTTGCTACCCCCCCATTTGTATTCTGTTGCCAGTTGTGATGTTCTATAGATGTTAGTATTCTTGTTTAAAATGTAGATTTTTTTAGGTTATGTTCTAGAACTGGAACGTGTATGTGTAATAAGTTCCCCCCATCTTTCTGGCCTAGTACCCACAGATCCGGAAGTCACTGCCTCACACGTCCTTCACGTGTAGCGTCCTTTAATTGCTAGAAGCAATTGTGGTGTCATCGATCGATCGCTCTGATACTTTTCTATTGTTCCAGTCTTGCCAGGTCAGCCTCCAAGTTAATGTGTTCTCAGGCTCGGCTTTCGGCTCATTCTGTCTGGACCGAGCTGCAAAGGGATTGGTTCGCCTGCGTTTCACGTGTGTAGACTGGATGATGGCGGGCGCTGGGGAAGACTCTCGAGCGCTCTTTAGAGCTGGGGTTAGGGTGGCGCTAGAGGCCTGGCCCGCATTGCAGGTGAGTGAAGCCTTGGGAGTATCAGGGTAAAGGCCTCGGGTGGCATAAGCGGCAGACTCTCAAACCGCCCTACACTAGTTACGAAACTGATGGGGACGCGGGCTTGTGTTTGCAGATCGCTGTGGATAATGGTTTCGGGGGCGTGCACAGCCAGGAGAAGGCCGAGTGGTTGGGGAGTGCCGTAGAGGATTACTTCATCCACAATGGTGAGTGCGTGTGAGAAGCTGTGTTGTGTGTTGCGGCATGGAGAGGAAACGCAGTCTGGAGAGTTAGCGCTTCCGCCTGTGCAGTTTCTGTTGGTACCTGAATGCCGGGTAAATTGAATATAGACTTTGGAGTCAAAATTCTGGCCTTAAACGCCGTAAGGCTGGGACACGGAACATGCTATAGCTCTGGAAATGGTCTTTTATTTTCCTGAGATTCACTTTCGTAGTTTCTAAAACGAACTTGAAATTATCCACCCCCGTACCGTCCAGTCATGTAATTTAAAAATTGTTGGGCCAAGATGTAGCTCAGGGATAGTTTGCCTTAAAATGCACAAGACTGTGGGTTCCATGCCCAGCACCACAAAATAAATAGGAAGCATTCATTTCTAATAAAGTAAAATGAAGCCAGTAAAACTAATAATGTTACTGAAGTCATATCCAAAATATTTCAGTATGTCAAACATTGAAAACGTTATTGAAATATTTTACTTTTTTAGTGTTTCAAAATCTTATTTTACAGTTTTAGCACATCTGAATCTGGTCTCCTCACATTTCGGTTGCTGGGCAACCACAGGTGGATATTTGGGTAGTGGAGATCTGCACCTTAGGCTTGTCTTGAGGGTTTTACAGAATAAGGAGTCATATATTGTAGAAGGCCTGTTGCCTATTATGATTTTTACAGTTTTTTTTTTATTTTCTGGCCTTGGAGAGATGACTATTTCTTAAGAAAGTTTACTGCCTAGTGAGGGATTCCAACCAAAAAATGGTATTTCCAACACTGGGTGATAAATATTATGATAAAGAGGAGCTGAAATTCTTGGGGTAATAGCCTGAGAAGACTTTTCAGGGGAAGGGGGCATTAGGGCTGGGTTTGAAGGGAGGAAAAGGAGTTACCTAGATTGGGGAGGCAGAGAAAGCAGTACTCAATGAGTTAGTGGTACAGGTAGAGAATGAAACTAGGGAGTATAGAGACCCTCCCTGCAAAATGTGAGACATGGAAGGCCTTATGTACCTTTGATTTTATTCTTTAGGCCAGCATTTGCCAAAATGTATACTATGGATGACTGCTAATTAGATCTTAAGTGAAGAAAAAACTTCTTCAAATCATGTAAGCTCTTTTCTTCAGCTCCAACTTGAGTTACACAACACTGTTGAACATGTTCAAATCAAAAACCAGTAAAGAGAAATCTATTTGCCTTTGTTTCTTTCTATGGATAGCTTCCCTTAAAACTCAGCAAAACATGTTTCCCAAAGGCAAACTATGAAACAATATAGTGATAAAAATTCATGGGCAGATTCTAATGTAAGAGGATAGGATTTACTGACTTAAAGGTTCAGAAGGTAATCAGTGTAGTGAGGGAAAGAGTGATGTGAAGGCTGTTTTGGTAGTGAAAATGAAAACTTAAGTAGGGCAATGGGTCATGGAAAAGAAGGGGTGCATTAAGGCATTGGCAAACGTGTGGCTATAGAGGAGGGAGGAAAAAGGAGGCCAGTTTCTTATTTAAGTGGCTGGGTGGAGTAGGTGCTTTTCTTGGAATGGAACCCTGGAGGATGAGATGCAAGTTTGTAGGGCAAGGTGATAAGTCTGACTTTGGGTATGATGGAATGGAGGCTGAGGCCCTGGGGAAACATCTGGGCACACAAGTAGTCTCAGTTGGGCACAGATTTGCTGTCAGGGGGATACTACTGCAGAAAGAGAAAGTGAAGAACTTTGTAGAAGACTTTCTTGAGTTATTCTCTAATTCAGAAAAGGTCGAAAGCATGGAACTATAAGGTAACTGAAGCCCAGATAGGTCTTAACCAGAGCCACACAATACAATGTTGGTGTCAAGGTTGTGATGATTTCATTATTGGAAGTAACTTGTCTATTTCTTATCTATCCCATTGGTCTGTGGTCTCCTGTTATCAGTGGAGCTACACTTAAGAAAGGTCTTCACAATGCTTCAGAACTTTTAGCCCTCAAGTGATAGAAATTAACATGTATTAGGAATCTCTGTGCCAGGCATTGTTGGGTGACAGCTTATACCAGACCTTCAAGGAAGCCACAATTATCTCCACTTTACAAATGACAGGCCCAGAGAGGTGACTGTAGCTTGTTCAAGATCACATAGAGAGGCAGCCAGTTACAATGGGCTAGATAAAAGACAGTACTTTAGTAAATAAAAAGTTCATTGCTTGGGATTTTTAACCACAAATCAGGTGGGGACCCAAGGAGGTAATGAATAGCAGTGGGCAGGGTTGATGAAATTGGCTGGTCTTTCACCAATGGTCCTGCCCTCTCCTACTCAGCTGACTTGGAGCTAGATGAGGTAGAAGACTTCCTTGGGGAGTTGATGACCAATGAATTTGATACCGTTGTGGAGGATGGGAGTCTGCCCCAGGTAAGCTTACCATGGCCACTTGAAGTCTCTTGGCTATAACTAGAGACTTATATGAGTCCTACACAAGACCCTTCTAAGATTCCCTATTGTTAAAAGAAACACAAACTTCACCTTCCTTTTATTTCTGCTCTTACATCATTCCTGTCCAGGCTTATTCCCCACCCTTTCCTATTGGCAGTTTGAGCCAGGTGTATACCCCCACTCTTGTTGACACTGTTAACCCCGGGTGAAATCACTTTCCCTTTACATCTTCTGTCTTTCAAAGCCCAATTCTAGTGCCTTTCCTACTAGGAGGCCTGCCTTCAATGCTTTAGACCCTCAACTCGTTCCTTCATATGTAGTTGCTTGATTGGTGAACTTTTTAGGAAAGAACTCCATTCTCATTTGGAAAATTCCAACTCCCTACTTGTGCTTTAAACCTAAGCTAGTTAAATAGTAGAGTCTGTAGAAAATTCAAGTTTGTTGATATTTTTTTTGTAGGTGAGCCAGCAGCTACAGACCATGTTCCACCACTTCCAGAGGGGTGATGGGGCTGCTTTGAAGGAGATGGCCTCCTACATCACCCAAAGAAAGTATAAAGTCACAGTCACTGCACTTAAGACAGCCAGAGAAACTGATGAGGATGAAGATGGTGCAGACAGTGTGGAAGAGATGGAGGTGAAGGGGCTGCCCCTTGGATGAGGGGACATTGATGTTTTCAGTTTTTTGGAGAACAGCTAAATTCACTTGGAGGTGATGAGGGGTTGTTCTTGTGGTATTATCCAAAAATAGGTGATATAGCCAACTTGGGAAAAGGTGGGGAGCAAGAGGCTGGGTCTCCAATGACCAATATATTTAGCATTCTTCTGTGTTTCCCCTCCAGGTCACGACTACGAATGAAGCAGCCGCTGTACAGCCTGAAACTTCTGATTCAAACTCTCAGACTATTAAGGAAGAGGATATAGTAGAAGATGGCTGGACCATTGTCCGGAGAAAGAAATGAGTGGGGCCAGAAATGTTTTGGGCCCTTGTTGACTGGCATTCTAAGACTTATT